TCGAGTTTCCACAAATCTAGAATGGTTTCATTTGTATTTTGGTGTGTTTAGTGATTCTGAATAGATCCGTATAGTGGCTATATGCAGTCCTTTGGTGTCTCCCTGTGGTCTTTTTTGGTATGGCAGATTGACTTGTGCTTATTTGTTAAAGTTACTGTATAATCTAGCTTCACATACTTTTAAGCACTTTTAAGTTGTAAAGAATATCTGCAGTGATATTTTTGCTAAGTATTTTTGCAAATATACAACACTATGTTTAAGTCTATCTTGAATTTGTTTAGTTTAAAAACAATTACATGGAATTAAAAGGTAATAACAATAGAATACTTGTTTTTTAACAGGTTTTGAATACTTTGTAGTGTGTACTTCAGTGTAAGGGCTGACTGGTGAGGGTTAGACTGAGTATTTTTAACGCTGTGAGATAATAGTACAATGTTGACATTTCAATGATTTATAAGTGATTGACTAGTAACTTATTAACCATTTACTAAGGATATGTTTGATTATTTCATGATATGCATATTACTTAATCATTTATGAGCGTATAGTCATGTTTTGTAAATGATTAGTTAATCACCATCTAATCACTTGACTTTTAACTCAATCTACAAAACATAGATGATAAATATTAACATATCACTTATTAATCATTTATGAACACATAGTTATGTTTTGTAAATGATTAGTTAATCATTAACTAATGACTTATAAATGCCTTGCAACTGAACGTTATTATAAAGTGTTACCGTATTATCTACAATATTATGTGCAGTGTTTTGTTTTGTTTTAAATGTATAAATGTATTTCTACCGTACTGCTGTAGCTGCTGTTGTTTAGGGTTTGCGATGTTCCTCCTTGTTCCAAAATGACAGTGATTGTGCTGGACAAACTCCATGTATATACTACCAAACTTCATTGTACTGAAAAATGAATCCGAATCTTGCCAGTCAATGGCAAGTAGGTTGCAAAGGGATGGAAAATTTCTAAGAAAAACTGTAATAAATACAAGCAAGTGTAAAGGGGGGAAAAAAAGAGTCTCTTGAGTGGCCGTGTGGGGGGGGTACTGTGGGATTGCACGGTTCCTCATCCGCAATTCCCACAGTAAATGAGGAACCACTCAGCCACAATGCAAAGTCAATATATTCCTCTAGGGTAGCAGAGCAGTTGTTGTCTGGCATTAGGTCATTTAAACAGTTCTTAAGTCCATTACAAAAGATACCCTTAAGGGCAACAGTTGAAAGCAAGAGTTCTGTTCTCAGACCTGCTCCTGTTGCTTCCAACTGGCGACAAAATTGGTTTTTAAAAATGTTCGCCATGTCGGTTAAACTTAGAGGCACAACAGATGCTGTGAAGATATTTCTGTTGGCTGGGTTGGCTACTAGGGTGCAATACAGCATAGAGAATTAGTGATTAAAAAATTACACCACAGGAAATGCTTCAATTACTGCAAGTAAGATATATTTTTCCTTTTAAAAATGGATTGTCTACCGTAAACATTTCCATACTTCTCTGGTTTCACAAATTATGGATCGGAGAGTTGCTCGGACTCTTTGCTGGGTAATCCTTTTAGGGAATAAAAGCACAACACTAAACGCACGACAACGTTTTTCACAAAATAATGATCTTTAAAAAAGCATCATATGACCCCTTTAATTATATAGTTCAGGATATTGCACTGTAGACAGATGTTGTACATTTTGAAGGATTTGAGGATTCTTTGTTCGTCAGACGAAGTCTGAGCATTGAAACAGACGCAACTAAGATTATTCAATATGCTGATTTTTATCATCATTACTTCACCTCCTACTTCTGCTCTTCTCTTTCTTTGCTCAGTCAATTTCTTGGCTGATAGAAGACAGTTTTGGGTACCAGACAAGACTACTCTGGGTATTGGGTATTAGACTACTCTGCTGGCTAATGGTTTCAATACCAGGCTAAACAGATATTTTCTGACAGGATCTGGCATCCAGGGCTGAATCTGATTAATCTGACGTGGAGACTTGATCTGATCTAGAGGTCTGCGCGGGACTGTTTTTTTAGTCCCGCTCCTGCAAGGTTATATTCCGTACCCACCCGCTCCCGCTATATATTCACTTTTGTTCACCCGCTGTCTGCTTAGAATGATTTTCTTCCCGACCCGACTGTTCCTGCTAAATGTAGATGCTGTTTCCAGAATCTCACACTACTGAAAGAGAGATAACAAATAAAAATGTAGTCTTTACAAAAATCGTGTTCTTTTTATTCGTCTTGTCAAAATACAAAATTTGTTTAACATTTTGCTGTCAACACGGTAGGAAAAGTGTCGCAGAGAAAAAAAATAAAACAAATACGAAATGAACCGGTGCTCGATGAGAGTGAGTAAAGCGCAGATGTGCTATTCTGAAAGGACGTCGGGAACAGGATATTGTTAGACCGCCCACTCCCCGTCCAAATAGAGTTACCGACCGCTACCGCGTTTTATTTGGGAATTTAATCCCGCGTCGCAAGAAATATTATATTTTTGACGCTTAAAGGGGCAGTAGGTGATTGTCTTCAGAAACATTTTTTGTTATGCTGGTTGAAAGTCTCTTCACACCCCGATAGCAATCACTAAGTTAAGTGGTCTAAATGTATTTATATATTTTGCGCGTATTTAGGCGTAGGACCAAGAAATGTCCGTCCAATCAAAATGCTCGGTCCGAGCGTTTTGATTGGCTTTCCTACCTGCCTGTCTATCAGCGCGTTTTTGGTATTGTAGTACTTTTACTAACTGTACTATAAAGTTTTCTCACCGGTGAATGACACATGATGTATTGTAGTAATGTTGTCTCTGGTCGTCTGATCTGTGTGCGTTCAGGGGGCGTGGCTTTGGACTAGTGATGACCGGTTCGCGAACGAATCGTTCATTTATTGACGTCATAACTGTAAAACATCCTAGTTTGCAGATCACTGCCTGTATATGTGTTGATGCTTTAGATACAAAAATCCAAATTGTAAGAAACGTATCAGATTATAATGATGTTTTAATTGACTGATGTTATGATTACTGACTTTATATTTGAATGTGTAAAGCCCGCGATAGACTTGACGCCATTACGTCATCGCCAATGACGTCATTACGTCGAGCGTAAAAGAACCGGTGAACCGGTTTTTTCAACCGGTTTATTGAATCGAACTGTCCGAAAGAACCGGTTCGCGGAAAAGAATCGAACTTCCCATCACTACTTTGGACGGCGATTGCAGGAGGGCGGGACGTTCGCGTTCAGTGCTATCAGACTAAAGTTAGCATTTTCTGAGATCTCCTACTGCACCTTTAATAAGAAATTGAAAGAAACTGAATTAGAATAAGAAATTGAAATAATGTATTAGTTAACATTTATATTATTACAGGCAACATTGAAATATGTTATTTCAAGTAACGAAAATTTATTTTAGTTTTATTATCAATACTATGGCAAAAAAAACACATTAGCCTAACAAAGTTCAAACATTATTAAAGACAAGTGAACAGTCAGTAAATAAGAACAAATAAACAAATTACAAGCAATAGAACAAACAAATAAGTAGAACAAAGATACAAATGATCTCTGAGACATCTATAAACTTTTTGGGGGTGTTGTACTAAACAGTGGCTTTCCTTTAAAGTGTCATGAAACCCTAAAACACATTTTTTGAGATGCTAACATATATAACCAGGTTGCACATCAGTGAAAACCACAATAGCACTCATTACGTCTATCATTAAGGGGAAAAGTGGTTGTTTTTTTCATTTTTGGAGCAATTTGGTTCTTCCGGTTCAAAAACCAAAGTTAACCCGCGTTTCAAGTTTGTGAGCATATTTCATATTCTCTCGTGCTCCAAACATGAATCAGCACCGTGAATGCGCACATATCATGTCTTCTTCAAATAAAAGATGCGCAGATAACGGCACTTTTATTGTGATACACAGCAAACAAAGATATACAGACCGAAAAATTAAAGAAGAGTAAACAGAAAGAAAGTTTTAAAGATATTTTAATATTCACTTGTGTGTATAATGAGTGTGTTGTAGGTCTGTGTTTTATTGGTTGTTTTCGCCGCTCTTCCCACTTTTCCAACAGCTTTACACACACATTTCTGGAGTCTTTTTCCAAAATGGTTATGCAGTTACATGTTATTACAATTAAACACTGTCTCTCTAGCTATTCATTAGTCTGTCATTTAGTTTTACAAAACAGTGGCTTTGTTTATTTGAAGTGTGCTGGAAGTGTAATGCGGTTACACTGTTAAAATGGATAATCTGCTTAATGTTTTATTGCTGCACAGGGCAAATTAATTTGTATTGATTTAAAAACATTTAATGAATTGTTGACAGTTTATTAACTAATATGGAGTCAATGTAAAATAATTGAGTGCAAGATTTTCACCAGGTGTAAGGGTGTTCAACCCTGAGTTGTAATTGTATATTACAATATAAATATATACTCATTTATGTACACATACAATCAACCTATTGCATCATTGTCACCCATTGATTGTTGCATATTTATTTTTTATTTTTTTAGTACGAGGCCCCTAATATAGGTTTAAATTTATTTTGACAAACCGTATTTTTTTTTATATAATATATAGCACAATGAAAGCTTCGGCTTTGGATTTTTCAAAAAAATGCATTAAACACTTTTTAAAAGCTTATCGTTAAAACTTATTGAAGTTCTTGACCACTGATATAAATGGTTTCTGCACTCAAACATGACTCTTGCACCTTTTTAGACAGAATCATAGTTATTTTCAGCAGGTAACTGGACAATATATATATGAGAGTGATTCTATAATTGCAGGTACATTTGGTGTCCGAAGTCATTATTTTTTTTCTGCTTTTTTCAAATGGTTATATTTTTAATTATTTTAATCACTTTCCCTCACTGTTAAGATCTGAAGCACTGAAAAGTCTATGTGCTCTCTCTGAGAAAATATTTTAATCTAAAAGTTCTTACACCGAGAGTTATTTTATAAAGTTTCAGAAAACAAGAAGATACTGAGGAACACACAGGTTGGTTTTCATTCTCAAAGCTGAACTCACTCATTTGATCCAGTTATTAAAATCTCCAGCTCTGCAGAAACGAAAACAATAAAATCCACTCATTTCTATCACTTATGCATCCGTATCTAACAAAAACAAAACCGTAATGAAATATATACAATAAAAAACAATATTATATTACATGATATATTAACAGAAAATATTTATAAAGGAAACTTTGAGAGGTAAGTGACCAACTCTGCTAATAATACCAATAAAGTTGCACATTAAGTGGTCAGTATTATAGTAATACACTTAAATCAATCAAGGTTGATGTTGTGGAATCATGAGATTAATCCCAATTACTTATTTATACATTTGTAAATAAATGCAATAGGCTAATTGTATTATCATATTTATAACTGTGAGTAAATTTAGTGGATTTGTGTTATTTTTCTCCTTTGTCACTGTCAGATTCTGTAAATAGATTGTACAGGTTTTACGTTTAGCCAGGTTTCAGTGTCAGCTGTTCTGCCAATCCTTTATTTTCCCATATACGTTACTCGTAAATATCTCATGTTCCTGCTTATGAATGGCTTTTGTCAAGTGTCTGGGTTTAGTTAGTTTGGCTATAGTTTGTGCCTGGATGCTTGACGTTACTGCTCTGAAGGTGAAAACTTTACTACCGCTGTGTCATTAGTGAATATAACTGACTTGTCACAATGTAAAAGAAGACAACTACTAGCCACCCCATCTTTGATATCATTAATGCACTCTGCTAACTGGAGTATTATCGGCATAACAGTGAAATCCAATGATAATGTCCCTCAGTGGAAATATATATGCATAGGAGAAAAGCAGAGGACCTAGTACTGAGCCCTGTGGCACTCCGTATTTTGCATCTCTTGATTTACACAAAGTAGTAACAGATACAATGGCCAATAACAAATAATTCTCATAATTCAGCAAAACTGAATTCCAACATAATTCTCAAGCTATCCAAGAGAATATCATGGTCTGTGTTGTTGAAAGATCTAATGGCACTAGAAGAGAAAAGTAGCTGTAATTAGATGCCAAATCTAGGTCATTTGTAACTAAGCATAGTTCCTGTGCTATTATGGCAGCTTATAACGGGAGGCTGTCATTTTCTCAGTCCTTAAGTTCTTCCAAACTTGTATTTAGAAAATGTGCTGCAAAAAATACTATGGATGTCAGCGGGGACCAACAACTGTTTGGTTACCCTCATTTTTCAAAATATCTTCTTTTTTTGTACGGCAGAAAATCGAAACCCATGCATGTTTGGAACAAGTTTGGGGTGAGTAAATTATGACAGCACTTTAATTTTTGGGTGAACTGTCCCTTTAAATCCTGACTGAAATTGTTCGCAGCTCTCCATATTTGAGAGGACCAAGTTGAGTTACTCTTAATATTTCAGACATAAATCGCACATTTAAAATTTGTTTATTATTAACTAGATCAAGTGTTTGTTTTGATAAGAGGTTTGACATCAGCCAGCTTGAAGGTTATTTGGACATGTCCTACAGAAAGAAAAGAGTTAACAATATTAAGAATATATAACAATATAAGATAGGGGTGTGTGACATGGCAAAATATCATATCACAAATTTTATTTTATTTTTTCCGGGAAAATCATGATTTTTTTCACTATTCTTTTTCATGTTGATTTTACTATTTTTCAAGTTGTCTAAGCGGTACAAACTAATTTCCCTATTTTGAAAACAAAGCCTTACAAGGTAACAAAATATACAATAATGGCAGATTTTTAAGGCAAAGTGGACGAAGATAAAAACCTTTTTCATTATTTTCTTTGTTATTATTATTATTATTATTATCTTTGTTATTAAAATATGAACAAAGATACACATAATATACAAATAAAACCGTCCTTTATTTTTCAGATACAGTAGGTGTATTTAACTGTAGCATTCAAGATATTGAATCAACAAATATAAAAATAAAACACTATATATATACTTCACTGTATAAATTGCAGTGATTCTTATTAAAGCAACTGTATTAATATTCTTCAGTCAAGAGCAGTGAGTGATTTTTCT